GTGATTTTATGACTTATTCATAATAGATACTAATTAAAATTAATTAATTCATATCTCAGTTTAGAATTATATCACCCTAATGAAAAGTATTATACCAAAAGTATATTATTTTATAAAATTTTATAAAAATTCGTGGCTAAACTAGATTTTTTTTTTGGATTATTTATATTTTGAATTAATTTTTGTTTACATTTTGTCTGCATTAAATGTGATGCTAGCTTTAGGTATTACCAAAAAAATTATCTCCTCAATAGTCATTTGCAATTTTTATTTAGATACTTCATTAAATTTCATTTTAATTTAATGCAAAATGAGTTCAATATCAGTTTCCTTTGATTATTAAATTAATTATTCAATTTTTCACACTTTTTAACATCATGTTTGTCCAACACAACCTTTATCAATTAAAATTTCTAAAAATTTAGCACAAAATTATTTAATTATTGTCAGTATCTCGTAATTAGACCTATAATTGAAGCTAATTAAACGGAACTAGACTAGCAAATATCAAATTAAGAACCATCTTAATTATGTTAAATGTAAGCAAACTGGTACCAAGAATTTCTGAAACAGGTCGCAATTAATTTTTCCACAAAATATAAGCACCTGAGCAGTTTAATTCGCTTCCCAATTAACACAAAACTGGTGGAGAGGTTTAGGCAAATATTTTGAGCCATAAATTAAGCAAACAAGCTCAACGAGTGTTTTTTTTTTACTAAAGAGATAGACGGACTTTCCTAATTTCCGCAATGTTAATGCAGCGTGTCGTCCGCTCGGAAAAATTTGTAGTTGTCATCGGAACTCTGCAGCGCTATGGGCATTTAACAATGATATGCATAAAAGCAGCATTTCTCTGGCGCGAGCTGTGTTGCAGATGACGAGATGAGAGAGAAGAGGCGTATCGCACACATCACGCCGTCTGTTACGCGTTCAATGACCGCTGGCCATTCCTCCGCAGCGGCAGCTTCTCTCTCGATATTTAATATGTAATTCCGAAGCATCGCCCGCCCGTGGAAATCATCCTGAAAACGCGTAATGCCGTGTCTTCAACACCGGAGAGCAAATCTCGCCACGGAATCTGCATATAATTCGACATAAATTGAATGATCACAATTCGAGATTGTGGATACTCGGTTTGGGTAGCTAAATTCGATTTAATGAGAATAAGTTTGAAGTTTTTATTTTACCTGGTGGAATAAAATTGACTGTGAATTTAACACGTTAAAAAAGAGTTTTAGTCCAGATGATTTTCATTTAAATTAAAATTTTACTTTATTTATCTTCATTTCAAAATTTTTTTTAAACATTGTTGTTTATTTTTCTAAATTATGTACACCTTTTCTGTATTTGTATGCATATACAATTTTTCTCCGTCACTCTAAATTAGTTTCAAATTAATCATTATAGAATTTAGATCAAGTTAAAAAGTTTCAATTTTTCCACCTCCGTGGTTTCTGCTTTTAATAGAACCGCAATTTACGTATTGGTTTCCCTCTATTTATTTTAATCATTCATCGGTTATATATAAATTTAATAAGGCACCTAACTCTCCATCCAAAGTCACAAGAGAGAGTACTCGGAAATCCATGGCATATTTACCTACTAACAATATTATATACACATAAAATACATTAGTAAGACACCGATTTGTATCTCTGTGAATGGAGCAAGTGAAAAGAAACGTGACTGCAAGTGCAACACAACACCAATAAGTGGTAACATTGCATGCTTCATCACCCATTCAAAGTGACCCCCATTCAAAGCATCTCTCCCATCGCATGCGCTGCCTCGAAAGACACACGCGCTCTACTGTTTTGAATTTTATGATACTCTGAATACATGTAAAGTATTGTATACACGTTTTATTTCGCGGAGAGAGAAAAATAAAACTGACACGCACAGGTGCATGTTGAAACAAACTCGCGACTGCGAAGGGAAAATCATTAAATGATACACTTTTCGACACGTTATAACTTTTGATGACTTATCACTCGCGGGAAGAAATATAAAAATGTTTGCGCATTTAATTTATACTGAGCATTGTCCCCAGCTGCCAAAATCGAAAAATTATCCAGATTATTATTCTCTGGAGAGGATAATATCCGGATAAAAGTCAGTTTTGGCAACTGGGGGTTTTGCCAAGAGGGTCATTTCTCTGTTAAAAAGCGGACAGAAAAAAAATGGTTTGAGGGAAGTGAACTCAGCGAGTGAGAATGGACTCGCGAGAAATGTTGATGCGTTGATGAGAATGTTTAATTTGATGCAAATGAAATTTAAAAAAAAAAATATTGAAATATAATTGCTGTATAATTATAAATTCCTGTTAGTATTATATTTTTGACAAATTGTTACATTACGCATTGTTTGTTGAAAACTATTCATTTCAAAAGAAAAGATTGTTGAACAAAAAAGCACCATCACCAGCAAGAATTTCTTTAAAACTTCCAAGATCAAAAATGTCCCATCCGCCGCAGTGAGATAATGAAAAGAATAAATTTTTAATTAAAATAAATTTTTTATTCCTTTGTCAAATTGTTAATTAATATTTTATTTGTATTTTAAACTGGTAATAAGTGCTTTCCTTGCTCTGACATCCAGTAAAATTACAAATTTTACATTATATAAATTGCACGGTGATATATAATTTTAAGAATTTGTTTGTTGAGCTCAAACTAAAGGCTAATATATAAAAAAATTTAATTTTCATAATCTGAATTAAACTCTGAAATTCATATTATCGGTGAAATAGTTAGAGTTTGACAAAAAATATTTGCATGGATGTCTGGTGTCCAGCAAAAAGAAAGCACACTGGCTTTTTTATATAGTCAATGCGGTCAATGCAAACTGTTAAAACTGGTTTTTTGTAACCAGACACACAAAAATTTACATCATTTTTATGTTCATAATAGCGCGTGATATTCTCCAATTACACCTGAGCTGAATGCTACTTTTTTCCCTCAATTTCGAGACTAATGAGTATGTAATTTCTTTTCAGCTCTCTTCAAATGAATCAATTTGGTCGGTATAGTAACTCGTTATTTTTCTTTGTCCACTTGTGCAATCGTTTACGTGCAATGATGGTCAAGATGCAAGGCTTGTCTGTTTAAGATGACAATAACGGTCCTTTGTCACGACAACCGGATATGGTAGGATGCTGCAGAAGTGATTTATTTGATTAATATGAGACGACAGAGTTATAACAGCCTAGGCTGTTATGAAATAATACAATGAACGATTTTTGGTTTATTGCTTTTAGGGATTTTTGTTTGCAGAATATTGAAAATATTTTTTTCTTTTCAATATTTACGTTTCACCTAAATTATTTTATTTCATTAACTCACATCCTGCAAAAATATATAAAACAACCTCTAAATTTATCTGTTTGAGAAGAAATTGACACTCAAAGAGATGATCACGGAAATGAAGAACTCGGACTTTTTCCTCTTTGTAAAAATTGTTTTTGAATAAACGTTCACCATTTCTCTAAATTTATGCTGCAGCAACTGCTTTAATTAAATAATTAAAACCATCTGGCCACAAATTTTGATACATTAATATGGACAAGTAATTTTTATCCATTTTAATATTTATGTGTTAATATTCGTTTTACAAAAATATTCTACTGCAAGTAATTTGATTTTACATATTTTATATTGTATAACATTTACCTCTTCTATGGTATTCTGAAAGGTTTTAAACCTAATGTGTGCATTTAAATTCTGCAACAATTCTTTTCTGAAATAAGAAATAATTATTCAATTTAAGGAGTTACGTAACTGTAATGCAAAACTGTAAGAGTGAGCAGAGCAAAACTAAACCACACGTGGCTTATAATCTCTTCCATCTTCAGGGGTCCCACAGGTACTTACTATTTCACCCAAGCAATTTTTTGCACCAAATAAACAAGTTCGTCCGCCGACCAATGGAGACGAGACGGACAGAAAAGACGCTTGTTAGTGGATCCCCCTAAAAGCCACTCGGAATAAATTATTGAACAGTTAGCCATTTGGTGCGCAGAACTTGAGCACTGATGAAGAGCCGAAAACCTGTTGCGGGAGCCAAACGTGTCTCGTTTTTCATCACGCGGCTCCGAATCTATGTACCCTCGAGGGCCTCGAGGTGCAAGTAAATAAAATCGCCAATTGCACAAAATAAAATCGTTTGCACTAAAATTATCCGCGACCTACCACAAAGTAATTATGATGCGCATCTTAAATTTTGAGTTGAAAAAGAGAAAAGTTTCAACACTCGGGCATGATTTGGTAAGATTCAATGGCAAAATTTTACACATTTATGTAAAAAAAAATTGAAACGGGGCTTGACCTCCTTGCTGAAAAAAAAATTTAAAAAAAGGACTACTGACCCTAAAAGGCGACTTGCTGGTACTTTGCTTTAGAACAAGGCTTCGCCCCTCAAGCACAAATTTACAAGTGGATCAATTATATAAATAAATTCAAATCGTCATTTAAATTTCTAATTAATCCATTGTAGAAATGTTTAAAATATAAATTTAAACACAAAAATTTCCAATTTTATTTTAAATTCAATTCGGTGACACCTTAGTTTTCATTGTTCGCATTGTTCATAAATATGTATTTAACAAACATAAAAACGGAATACTTGTTAAAAAAATTCCTATAACTGAATTTTTGCCTCATATTTTTCATTTCAATATTTTTGTTACAAAAATTCAACAGTCAGATTCAGTCTTCATAAATGGATTTTGGAAATTGAATCCCAGCTAAATTAAAAAAAAAAAACAGTCCAATTAAAAACTTCATTATTTTTTCATTCTTGTTTCATCAAAATTTACAACTCAGCTCTAGTTTTCCTTAAAAAACATTCTATTTTGATCGAAGCACAATATAATTAGCGCGGTCGATATTTCATCGGAGTTGATGACCCGCGGCGTGTCTGCGGAGAGTGGTGGTCGGTGCTCGCGTGCCCCTCAATTGCAAAGCTCTCGTTGCACCGATCTCGACGCACTTTGCTCGCGCCGACCGTCCGCGCTGCACTTCAATAATTGCAGACGTTCAAGTCTCCGAAATGCACGAATTATTACAAGATCCCGGCTCCGTTGCGTGAGCAGCTCATTACGGGCGCCACCTGCTGTCCGGTAAAAATCAGCCAAGGACGAGTGATTTCGCTACCGACAAGTGGATGGGCGCGCGAGCGAGCGGCGTGATTTCTGCCGTAGTTCGGCCTCTTCTCTCGCGGCCACAACATCTCTCCACGTGCACTCAGCGGACTCCTCTGATCGACCGAGTGCTGTGCCGCCGGCAAAGTACTTAGAGTTTCAAAAAGTTTGCTGCCCCGAAAAATTATAAGGAACACTTTACACAAGACTGTTTTTTGTGCTCGTCATGCTCCAAAATCCTGCGGTCGCCCACTATTTTTGAGGTAAGCCAAAAACTTTTAATTATTATGTTATTTGAGAGGAAATTAAGTTACGATTTTTCATGAAATTCCTGTAATAAATTTGAAACGCTGAGGGGAAATTTGGGAAAAATTGTCTCTAAAGATCTGAAAATAATAAATGACTATAAATTTTAAAATTTTTATAATTGGATTGTTAAAAAATTGGATAAATTCTAGTGCTGAACCTTTAAATCTTAAATTTATAACCTAGTTTTGAAAGTAGACACAATTCCTAAAATCTTTTTATATTTTATTTTGTTATTTTAAATATCACTTTTTAATTATTGATCCATTTTCTGCTTAAAACAAATTAAAATAGAATTTAAAAGGACTGATCTGGAATAATAAAAGCTGAATTGCGAGGCGAAAATCAAAGACGAAAATAAAGCCTGTTTACTAAACATAATTTGAGCTGCAGTTTTTTGCCAGGAGTAAGAGCAAAAAAAGACCAAAGAAAGTGGCATTCGGAAGTATCAGGCAGTCATCTAAATGCAAGCTTTCAGCATCCAGAAAAAGAAAAAAAAAATGTCCAAAGAACTTTATTACTGTTAATTTTTCTTTTTGTTTTGTATTTTGTTATTGTAAAAATTTGTATGTAAAATTATCATCTTTTCTCTCAATTATATTAACTTGTATAATTTTGAATGTATAAATGATGTATCCCGTTATGGGCAGCAATTGCCTTTGTGATAGATCAATAAACACAATTTGCAACTAAAACACTGGGACTCATGACAGTTACACCATCAAATCTATTTTTCATATTTGCCAATATTCAATTCTAATAAATTTACAACCTGGTCAAAAGTTCAATAAAGTGGAAATCTATGGTTAATTTGATTTATTAATTGAAAAGAACAGTTAAAATCATATTATTTTGTCTGCTTGCTTTAGAACTTATATTTTAATCTATAGAAAATAAAATATGCTGTTCGTTTCATTTTTATTTTGAAAAATGAAAGGATTTTTTTTTTAAATTTGTATCTCTTCATTCTACACAAAAAACAAACTGAAATTCAATAAGTAATATGTAAAATTTTATGGGGTATATTAAATAATTTTTAATTAAATTGTAAATGTCAGAATTTAATAACACTTTCATTAATAATATTTCCAGTTTTTGGTTGTAAAATCAAGCCCCATATTCCATTAAAAAGTTGCCAGAACTATTTGTATTTAAAAAATTATATGCTCAATAAATCGAAATCATATGACAGGGATTCCTCAAACATTCATTCATTGAATGAAACTTGAGTATTCGATCTTTAACCTCTTCAACTGGGCCGTAATTGTACACAATGAAACCTGAATAAGCTGTTTGTTAACAAGCAACAAATTTATGCTTCTGCGTCATTTGCCGCAGTGAGAAAATGCAAATTAATTTTTCCCGACCGCAAAAGTTTGTGTGTACGTTTGCCACTTGGTTGGCACCAGTAATAATTTTTTCTTCACAACGAGATAGGCGTTGATTATTATTTCTTTCTTCTACGTGCCGACCGCGTGTGCTTTACAAAGGTATGCCATATAATCCCAATCACACTTCTTGTTGCAAGGTTTCTCCTGGTTTCTCTCCAGTTATTATTCCACAGCAAAACGTGATATTGGAAAAGACACGCATTTTAACTGCGAGAAAGAAAGCTATATGGTTTTCGAGATGTTTTCACAAATTGTTGTTTTGTGCGTAAAAAACATAGAAACAATGAAACAAAAATTATATAGATCAACCAGATATATACTTATTTCAGAGTTTTTTTATCAATTGCACAAAAACACAACCTTTATTCGCATAGTAGTTTTTTCTGGGCTTCTTCTTTTAGCTTCATGAATTAATTGAGATTCGAAATAATTTAAATTTTATTAACTTTCATAAATTTACGTCAAAATTGATTTACACAAATCATTTAAATTGTGTAAAATTTTTTATTTATTGTGCTAAATTTGTCTTTTTGCTGTTTTTGTTTTTAAAGGCAATAATTTTGAAAGGACATAAGATTATACAAATATAACGCTAAATAAAATGGTATTCTGAAAATAAGCTAAAAATAACATACAATCAGATTATCTTGTTCGAGTTTTAACAAGATTTAAAACCTTCATGAAATCTAAGTACTAAAAAACACGTTGCCCTACTCTGCATTATCCTCCTGATCAGCAACAACGTATACATGATTATTATGGGCTCGTTACTTGCAATAGTCGATTGGCCATTGGTGACGCTGTTCTTATGCAAATTTCTCCGACTTAATTAGCCAATTACTAATTTATTCTGAGCATCTCTGCTGAACCATGTTTAATCACCAATTTTTCCTTGCAAAATCAATTTCCGCTCGAATCCGCCTCTCAATTTCTCTTTACGCCGCCTTTCTCATTAATTAAAAACTGAAGCGACGGCTTTTTCCTGGCTTGTCTCGGAGAAGGTAGCCCTGCTCGCCAAACAACATTTCCAAATATTAAGCGGACTAATGACGTAGAGCCGCTCGGAGGCTCCACCTGATCACCATCAGGCAGAAAACTGGTGCAAATATTTGGAAGGGCCATGCAAACCAGTCTTTTTTGTTTTATCCGTGAAAAAGCAGTGGACGACGAAAAAAATGGAACCGGCCCAAAAACACCGAATACATTAAAAAGTTTGCATGCCAATCCCTGCCGAATTTCGCTCTCTACTTAAACATCTGTGAAAATTTTATGAAATAATAATTTAGCAGAAATCTAACCTGGCGAAATTATTTGCGTGATTGATGGCACAAGGCCGCTCCTTACAAAATTTTGACGTATTTATTTTAACGATTTAGATCTTTGGCAAAATGAATTACTTACTGCACCCGTGGTGCTGCTGATAAAAAATGAGTTCGCGCGCCTGACGGTATTATTAAAATAATCACTCCGAGCTGCCCGATCTTCATTTATCTCTTTATTAGTCGCTTCACCTCATAAAATGTAATGGACTTGATCTCTGGCAATTTTTTTAGCGGTCGACCTGGGGCGTTCCGAAGTTTTAAATAAAACATTGGACAGCTAGAGATCTTCTATTTGCGCATTTGAAATGCCGATGATGTTATCGCACGGTATATCTAGCATTCGTGACTCGTAAATTTCATGATAAGTGTTGGGTTCCGTGGTAATATAAATGCAAATTGTTGTTACTTGTTTTATTTTTTATATCGCTCATTTAAAATATTCCATTCTTAAAAGTGGTTTGATTGGTCAATTTTGACCTTATAAACGCAGGGGGAAATTAAAAAATAAATTAAAATAAAATTGTGAAAGAAGATTTGTATGAAATATATACTTTTGAGCAATATTAATAACCAAATTAAGTTTTCTTAATTTTCATCAATTGTCTCCTTGCGTGGGCGTGGAGACTTCCTTAGGTAATAACATACATAATTTGATTAACTTCAATTTTCCAATTATTTTGCCGAATAAACGTTTTATATCACATTAAAATCTCTACGTATGGCATATGCAAGGTTTACTAATAACTCTGAAGTAATGTTCATGTGTGGACAGGGGATTGTGGAATTAATATAATTTTGTCTAGGATTTAAATATTCTTACAAACAATTAGAATATAGTTAAGTTAAATAAAGAATAAATATTAAATTAGAAAATAATAAATAAAGAAAAGTTTTATTTTATATTTAAAAAAAATTTAAATTTATTATTAAAAATTATTAAAATTTATATTATTTAGCGGAGTATATTAGATCAAACTTAAATATAATTTATAAAAATCTTTCTGAATAATTTTTTTTTTTTTGGGATTTAACTTCCACTTCTTTTTAAAACTCTCATCGATAAAGCTTTTTTCTGTTAAATACAAGTGAATAAAAGGAACAAAATACCCTTTTATGTCAATTGTACTGCAGTTTCAATTAGCTGTAAATTATCCACCCTTGCACATCGAACGGCCTCGCTCTGAAAAAACTTGCTTTTGAACAAGCCCGCGTACACTAATTGTTTGCTCCGGAGCCAGTCGAAGAATTTATCTGGGTGGTATTGAGATAAGATGCTCAAATAATGCGAAGAAGTCGGTGTGTGACTCGCTCGGATCGTTCCGCAGTGGACATTCGCACTCACAATGCGGACGCGGTGAGGCAGAACTGCAAGCTCGCTGCTCATCTTTTGTCTTCACTTGATCTGAATGTGTTACACGCGGCGCTACAAATTGCGGAGACCCATTACAACCGCGAGTGGAATGGCCTTGCGAGTTTTTTGACATTGATGATTTATTGCGTTTTCTCCTAGGCAAAAAAAAATACGCTACGCTGAGAGGACCACCGGAAAATTAATCAGTGTGCAAATTATCTTTATAGAAATTGGTGTGTGGCCGAGTGTTTTTCTCCGATATTGCAATTGATTTCGTTATGCAAAAGATCCGGACCGACTGATAGAGTTATAAATCATCAAGATTTATGGCGGGATCCCCTTCAAATTATATATCTTGCAAGTATATCGAGCGTTAGGAATAAGAAATTGCGTTAAATAGAGGAGATGAATAAGGCGATAGATGGGAAAATTGTTTTTAACTAGACTGGTTTGTGTCTTTGAGGTCACTAAACTTGCTCAAGTATGATAAAAAAAACCTCTCGCGTTAGATTGATTAAGAGGAACATGAATCGTTTTTTGGCTCGAAATTTCGCCAGCAGAATTTAAATAGATTTGCGTCACACGAAGAGAAATTATTATCATTTGACAACTTTTTTTTTAAATAGGAGAAAATGGTATTTTTATTCCTTAAAAAATGTTATTTTTTACTAGAGTTTTTGTTAAAAACAAGTCACAAGTGTATTAAATCAATTTATTAATTTCCATGAAAGCAAAATAAAATTGAAAGGAAATTCCAATGAAAATGTTGTTGTATATTGATGACAGCACTGATTTTCAAAGAAAAATGAGTTAGTCTAATTTGAAAAAAATAAGAAGAACATTTTTTGAATTTTTTTTTCACGTTTGTACATCTGGCGAAAAATATTTAAAAT